TTAATGCAAGCGGGGTTACAATACCATTGTCATTCATAAAAAAAAAAACTAAGGGAACTTATTGATCGAGGAATGCACAATAGCGTCCCTCTTAAAACATCACCAAAAGTCACACTGCGGTTGCCAACCCACCTGCCAAGCGTGGCAACTACTGGTAAAATCCCCTCAAAAATAAACTGCTATAAGGAACAGCTTCGTTCCTTATGACAGTCTATAGGGGAGACCTATATTCGACAGTGGACCGTTAACGGCTGATACGATAATGATGATAATTACCAGTAATGGAACTGTTAATCCCCATACAAACAATCCCCTCATAAAAAGGAATGGCGCACAGTATGTTATTACTTCACATACATATATACATATCTGTCACGCCAGTTATTGAAGGCGGAAGACCCAAAAAAACCAATTTTATAAATATAACTAAATTTAATTCTAAAATTAATTATTACAATAATAAGTGCCTTCAGATCGATGTGTGATCCGTAAGTGAAGTTATATAAAATCAAACATAAAGGAAATGGGTATTTTGCTGCGGGAATTGAAATGCTGACTCGACCCAGGTGTCTTTCTCGGTAGCGTACCTTCTAGCGTCATGCTAGGTGGTCCGATCCGATCGCCGTTGAGGGTGTGTCGTAATACTTGATAAGTATCTACTATAACACGCCTATCCACCCTTGGGATAAACAGAAACAATCACAAAACAACTTATTACTTCACACTCTACAAAAATTGAGCACACTCTACACTGAAAATTAATTTGGCGTGAATTTACAAGGTACAAAAGATTAACATTTAAGTCCTCAGGAATGGCAACGCATCCCCCATGCGTCATGGGCGAAACAGTATACTCTGTTATATCCATGGTACTGTTATGCTCATGTCTATAGGCGAAGATTACCACTTTCCATCAAGTGGGCCGTCAGCTTGTTTGCCATTCTAAGTTGTATAAAAAAAAACAATTTTAAACCCAAAACTTACGAATAATATGCGTATATTTTATAGGAAACATGGCAACTGAGTCACAGAACCAGTAAGTACGGGGTATCAATGACTTACACACTGACCCAAATTAAAAGACGCCGACTTTACTACGCGAATAAATGTCTATGCAATATAGTACTGGTATAAACACGATTAAATACTAGTGTACATTATAAATTTTACGTTACATTTATTGTATGTTCGTGAATGTTAAATTGTATATTGATGGTCTACCTATCTATTTATCTATCCTCATTATTAATATGAGAAATTAAATTTTATATGCAAGCTAAAATATAAATAAATCATTAACAACATTTTGAGAGTACATTTTAGCGAATAATTAATCTGAATATTTTGTTCTAAACAACTCATGTTGAGTCGAAAATTGACATATTTTGTTTGTTTGTTAGAATTGTTAGCATTTTTTTTTTTAAATTTTTCTACTTAATATATTTTTTAAATAAAGTAAAAAATTACAATTGTCTATTAGTATATGAAAAAAGAAACTTATTATAGAATAATACTACTTCTATTACTCTGTGGTTACTATGCGGTAAAATATTTTTTTTTCTTTGAAGTGTTAAATTTTATTATGTAAAATATTTTTTTTTTATTTATATTTTTTTAAATAAACGATAAAATTGTTTATTATTCAATGAAAAAATAAATATACCATAGAGTAATAGAAGTATCCACGTTCGACAGAAATTAGGTAAGTGAAGTCGTGATCCATGGTGAGGGCAACCAGGAATGTTTATTCAAAAGGGCTTTTACTTGTCTTTTTATCAGCACCAGCGACATGACATCTTATTTATAGACAGTAAATATTTGTACAGATTACGGTGACTAGGACTTCGTGGCTCGTTAGCCGGTATTTTTTGTCAAATATAACGCATGATTGAAAACTTTCTATTTAAATGGTAGCTTATAAAGGATGGATAATAAAAAGTGCTTTACAAAAGAACTTAACGATTTCTCTCGCAACATAAAGGATCAAACTGACTTGTCAAACATAAAATAAGCGTTTGTCATCCTCTTGAAATATTTTCAATCGATTTATTTGGACATTAATGACTCTTACTAGAAGTCGTTAGTAGATTTTTTTATCATGACACTAGCTGTTATAAAAAATAGCCTTTGTTCTGTTCCATCCTATATAGTACGTAATATATCAAATTTCATAATGATTAATTAAGCTATTTAGGCACTAAGACCTATTATTATTATTATTATTGAGAGACAGACTTTTTACATACATACATATCAGTTACGCCTGTCTCCCATTAGGGTAGGCAGAAACAATGGAACGCCAAATGCTTCGATTCGAACAAACCTCTTTCGCTTCTTCCACATTCATCAATCTTTTCATACACGCTCGCCGGTTACGGGTACTTTTAATTTGGCCCTTCTTCAGCATGTCGCCTATTTGGTCAACATACGTCCGTCTAGGGCGGCCCCTACCGACATTTCCATTCATTCTTGCTCGATAAATCTCTTTCGTAATTCTTCTTTCATCCATCCTCTCCAAATGATCAAACCAAACCACCGGACTTTTTCTGCCAGAAAAACCTGTAACACTGCGACGTCTATGATCATTAGTGCTCGCCCTTTTTCAAGTTTACTGTCAGTGATAGGAATTTTAAGATGTTCTTTACAGTGGTGTTTTTTATCTCCTTCAAATTATAAAATGCAAGGGGAAAGGGATTGCTAGCAATGTAGTCTAACTGACCCATTTGAGTTAGTCAGAATCATTATCAGATCAGTTATCAGAATCATTAAACAAACTTTTCGAAGTTATGGATAAAATCCTTTACGATGTTTATGCATATAGTGTGAGTTGGGAAAATTTAACTATTTTTTTCCAAAAAAATGCCATAAATTACACTTATACCTAAATTATGGCTTATCAAATATCTCTACATATCCTATAGGTTAACTGGTAAAGAATACCTATAGCATTAAGTCCGCCTTTTGTACCACATTTCATTGGTCAATAAAGTTTAAATAAATAATCAAATATTAATCTCTCTTTACATTAATAGGCTCTTTACATTAATAGGTATTTTGATTAATCTAAATTAGGAAATACATTGTAACCCATAGATAAAAGATGGTATTTACCTGTGGTCCTAGGAACTTGAAAAGTACCTACATTTTCATTTAATTTTCAATGCTATAGGTATATAATGTAAAGTTATAGTGTGAATGCCATGCAGTCGTGATGCACGTGACACCAACCAGTGTGAGATGTCCCGTCGTTAGTCGCCACTAGGGTTGTTACCTTACTATTAATTATTATGAATCCATATTATCTTTGACTAGCTGAACCTACAAATTCTATTTGTTCTCTAAAGACAAAAAGAATATTTTTTCAACCGACTTCAAAAAAGGGGATTCTCAATTCGGTTGTATTTGCTTATGTTTGTTACCTCACAACTCAATTAGTTCAATTTACAATTTTTGTTTTTTTATCTAAAAGGATACATACAAATTGATCCCACAGAAATTTTATCAAAATCGGTTCAATAGTTTAATTTTGAAATAAAATAATTGGTTTTGTCAAAATTGAAGTCTGTTTTTTTTTTTATAGATTTCAATCTTACTCGTAATTCTTCAAGTAAAGTAAATAAGTAATTATAAGTTAATTAATAAATAAGTAATTATAAGACCAGAGGGAGACTTTGTACATAGTCGATTGCTTGGGTACCTCTGTCCCATTCGTGTTTCAGCCGTGAAGCAGTTGAGTTTGCATGGCTGTGTTTCGGTTTGAATGGTGGGATATGGCGTGAATTTACTGGGTACAGATGAATAACACCTGAGTCCTCAGGAATGGCAACGCATGGGGGGTATCATGGGCGAAACGGTATACTCTGTTATGTCCATGGTACTGTTCATGTCTATAGGCGACGGTTACCACTTTCCATCAGGTGGGCCGTCAGCTTGTTTGCCATTGTAAGTTGTATAAAAAAAAATTTTTGCACAGTCATTTTTTTATGAAACTACCACCTAGTTCGGAATGCAATTCCAGATTACAAGAACGAAAGAATATTACTTTAAAATATTACTTAAACACAGGAATATTTGTACAATCAATACAATTATCCTCTATTTATTTGGTTATTATAAAAACAAATACACGATTGTGTAAAAAGATGTAAAGACAGTGTTGTCGTTTATTTCAAACAAATATATAAGAATAAAGAAGTGACAAATATGGAGACAATGTAAAAAGAAAGTACTTATGCCTTTACTGTGCTATTGGTATACTTTTTAAAGCGCTTTATTTTATTTAAGTTCAGCTAACATAGCTTGAACTAATTTAAAATATAAGTTTCAAGTTTATTCATTTTTCCAGTTTATCCTGTACTTACAAGAAAGAACACTGTTCCCTTAAAAAATTGGCAACCCTACTGACAGACTGCCTTCGTCGTGTCGGATGCGTCACGCATTACCTACGTGTAAATAAGTGAAATTATTATTAAACGCGACTGGAAATAAGGCAGGCTCCAATTCACATGACACCACACTGCGCTAGATAAATTTCTTGACGAGAATATTAAGCCTTCTCCTTGGAGGATTCTGTCAGTAGTTGCCACGCTTGGCAGACGAATTGGCTTTAGAGATGTTTTAAGGGGGATGCTGCTGCCTATCCCTCTCGCTCTCCGTTAGTCGGCTCTTACGACATCCACGGGAAAGGAAAGGGTGGCCTATTCTATGCTGGAACCAAATAAAAAAAAAATAGAATTAAAAACAAAGGGATGTGTCAACTTTATTACACCACGATGCTAATTGAGAATGAATACCTCTGACTATTCCATTAAGAGTTATAGTCGTGAACATTATTTTGTGTTACCTTTTTACGTATTTTTCTGTTATTTTTCATTGGTTGAATTCTTTTTTCTATTTATTTTTTTATTTGTGCTAGTTGCTATTTTTCTGCTGAATTAATTACAAACTAATTAGTTATATATCTTAACATATTTTTTAATAAATAATTATTTTATCCACAGTCGACAGTCGCGAGCGCCGCGCAGCGTGTATTCGTACAGGAGCGCGGTGGCGCCCTCTGTCGCATCTACCCACAGATCCAAAGTTTCAAGAAAGGTAATCTCAATCCTATCTACTTACCATTAGAGAGAATTGGCATAAATACATAGATACGGTGTAATTACACCATATAACTCCTCTAACAAAACAAATTTAACACTAAACCTACCAAGCGTCGTCAAATGACCGTTTTTGAAATTTAGTTTAATAATTTATAATAATTGTATAAAAATATTTCAGGCTGGTGTGAAGGTAGACGCGATGGCGGCTCCGAACCCTTTTTGCCCGAACGTGAAGGGCATGTGTTGCCTGATGCTGCTCCTCAACTTAGGTCTCATACTGGTCACCCTTGGGTTCGTGATCGTGCTGCAGTTCTTCGAGCCTCTGTTTGTATGGTCAGTACCGCATAATGTTTTATATTTGAATGTATGAAAATTGGTAGTTATATACAATATTGGTTTACGCTGGTGGAATACCAGTGAGGGATAAGTAAAGTGAAGGTATTTTTTTTATGAATGATAATTTATTTATTTATTTGATCAACTAATTGAGCTTTACAGTCTTCGAATGCGTTCATCCAAGAAAGCACTAAGACAATAACATATACTTTATAACTTTTATTAAAAGAAAAAATATTAATAAAGTTAAATACAATATAACTACATAACAATAATAGAAATAACATTTATATTTTAAATAACTGAATATAAACACTCTGTGGTCATCTGACGTAACTCCAGCAAGTTGGAGACAAATACATCTAATTGTGGATACACGCTCAAAATATCGTTAAAAAAAGAGAGGGGAGACTTTGTACAAAAGTCGATTGCTTGGGTACCTCTGTCCCATTCGTGTTTCAACCGTGAAGCAGTTGTGTTTGCATGGCTGTGTTTCGATTTGAAGGGTGGGATATGGCGTGAATTTACTGGGTACAGAGGAATAACACCTGAGTCCTCAGGAATGGCAACGCATGGGGGGTATCCTGGGCGAAACATTAAACTCTGTTATGTCTATGGTACTGCTCATGACTATAGGCGACGGTTACCACTTTCCATCAGGTGGGCCGTCAGCTTGTTTGCCTTTCAAAGTTGTATAAAAAAAAAGTGTTACTTGGTCGTAATGGAATAGTAACCCAGCCTGCGCTAACAGATCATTTATCCCATCGTAATAAATATACCTGGAATTTAGCATAATGGTTTCCAGTAGTTACCACGGGGGGATCGATCTGATAGGGTATTACGCATTACTAATAATCCCCCTCATTAGGGGGAAAGGGATTTCCTCCTAGCTAATCCTGTTTGGGTTTTAACCATCCCCTATAAAATACAGTATTACAATCAAATGAAATATTGTAATCTTCCTATATTACTTTAACATACTCGTAGTTCCAAAGCATAATATTTTTTCGTTGTTGTACTTATTTATGTCCGGATCTATTGCCGCAACGTATAGCCTAAATAGCTTAACGGCTTTTATTAAACATGTGAGAGTGACTAACGACACCATAAAATAAATATGGCAGCCATAAACTGTCAAAAACTAATTTAACTATAGATCACAGAAATGCCTGTGCCATAGATAGAACGTTTTACTATACTTTATCTTTTTATTGGTAGGTACATCGATAGAAGTAACAGCTTTTTTGTGACTTTCGCGTCCAGTTGTTAATAACTGAAACGTTGTTATTGCCATAATTAAAATATAAAAATTATATTATCGCATTATCTATATCTTTTTTATGCCCGCATCAGAGTTCAAGTATTTTTTTGTGAGTGATAATTAAATAGTAATCCACCTGTGCTATCGATATACGACCGCGTAGAGGTCGACCTCCCAAAACCCTCGAGTTCCTCTAAGAAACCATCGTGATTAATTATTGCCAAATTCGTCGCCATGAGCCTGTCTTTACTTCATCCTCATCTATGATCCCTCACTGGTGCCATGCCAGTGTATGCCGATAACACAGACGGGGTTACCATTCCATTACCATTCATTTAAAAAAAACTTCGGTTGCAGTAGCAAGATGAATATAATGCTAACAATGAAACTGTTAGACCTTATTACTGATAATCCCTTTCTATAAAGGAAGGATATAAGAATAAAGTTTTATTTTTACGCCACAAATGTAACAACCCAATTAACATCCTAATCCCACTACTGGGTTTGGGGGGGAAAGGGATTGTTAGTAATGGAGACTAAGAATCCCATTGCTAGCAATATACCCAACCAGGTCAACCTCCTCGCGGTTCCCCCTGAAAACTATCATGGTTAATTGCTGAATTCATCAAGATGGACTAACTGGCCTGTTTTCATTCTCATCTATCACCCTTCACTAGTGCTCTGCCAGCGTATCCAGTTAGCGCAGGCGGAGTTACCATACCATTTTCACCCATCAAAAAAAAGTCCCACTACTGGGTACAGCTCTCCATAAGTGGAGGATATTGGCCTGCTGTACCACGAAGACGTGGCATTGCTCGCATGAAAAAAAAATACTTGGTGTCCATTCACACAAATTCACATAACGAAAGAAGTGAAGTGTAATAATACACCTTAATTCAATAGTTTAAAAACTTATTTTAAACGCTATCCTCTCCGAGCCGGTCTGTGTGAACGAACACTTACGATAAATAATTTATTCACCTTTTTGTGACAACTATGAGAAGCAAAACGAAGTTCACGGGCGAATGTCATCCAAAATGGCGTGTACAGTTATACCTACTTGAAAAAAAAATGTAAAGCGATTTTTAATGTTCTCAGAACAATTATGCGACCATATTCAATTGTTAGAGCTGTGAATACGATTGTGGTGTTCGACTACCTTTCGAAACGTGTCGATTGTTGTGGGAATGTGATTAGAAACCTCACTATTAGTAGGTCGAGTGAATTGTATTAAAAATATAAAACTGTTTAAGTATTATAAAAACTTTTTACTTGCGTTGAGTACTAACTGTATCCTGCGGCTTTTAAAGTAAAAAGTAGTATTTTTTTTTAATAAGTATACACTAACGGGGCACGAGTGAAGGATGATAGATGACGATGAACCCTTGGAGGTTTTTGCCATTAGTTGCCACGCTTGGCAGGCGGGTTGGCAACCGCAATTAGGCTTTAGAAATGTTTTAAGAGGCACGCTGCTGCCCATCCCTCGCCCTCCCTACTCACTCCATTATTATTAATTTTATTTGTGTTCATAGATAATTAACCTTTTTCATCTGTAATCTTGTTTCAGGATATTGGGGATAGTTTTCCTCATATTCGGTTTCCTCACGCTCCTCGGCAGCCTCATATACTGCGTGGTACTCTGTCGAGAGAATCCCTACCCGCGGTACCCAGACGACTTCTACTGGACCCATCACTGGTCTAAGACTATAGGTCCTTCGGAGATCCACTACAGCACGAGTGAGAAACAATACAGACAGAACAGTCATAGCGACCGATACAATAAATATAATGGCAAATATTCCGACAGAGAAAGTGCTAAAGGTTACTCTGATAGAGAGAGCAAATTAAGTAGGTACTAATGATATTAATAATGGTAATTGGAGGTTTAATTTGTTTATCGAACGCGACGTTCGATTTTTAAATACGGTTTTTCACGGCCCGGGCACGTTGGCCTTTGGTCAATTTGAAATATTTGAATTTTGTATTGCGAGATGCCAGTGCCGTGTTAACATGTATTCAACGGAAACTCTCCGTAGACTTTTTATATTGTCAAAAATTAATGTTGAATTGTCGAATAATGTATAATATTTCTTTTTTTTTTTATTGTATCAATAAATTACTATTGTTTACTTATTATGCTTCACTAACTTTTAATCATGTAAACAGTATCAATTTTAAAATTCGAACTGAGTTCGTATGGCCGATGATCCCAGTTTCCATAATGGATGAACGTATTTATATGTTTAGTATTTTATTAAAACTAGTAACAATTATATCTTCCTTAGTGAACATACACTCTTACGGTTATAACATTTCATGTAAATATTAATTATATTATAATTAAGTATACTAGCGGACACTCTTTGAATTGAATGCCATATTAAATTAATATTAACTGTTTCAAAGAGTGTTTAGTTTATATTATAAAATATATAAGATGTAAAGGTATATAATAATATTAACAAAAATTTTATTATGAATTTTTAAGATGTCAAATACATTCTTACAAATTAAAAATATCTAACACTACCTATATCCACCATATTGATTTTTTTTTGTTGTTTATATAAAATTTCATTCATTTATTTACAAAAAATAATAACACTGTTTATAATACTGTTATATATTATTATACTAATATCTAAAGTATACTCTATAATTAGTACATTTTGCAGGAAAATTTAACTTACAATTTTTTAGTTTCATTTTTGAACATGTTTAAAATAATTTAGAACGTATTGTTTAATATCAATCAATCGTTTATGATTAATTTTTCTAACTATATTTAACCTGTTTCTATTCAAAAATAGGATTTTTGAATTATGTATTTGATATTTTGTATTTTCTATGTTTATTTACCTCTAATTTCTAAAAAAAAATCTGATTTTTTCTACGTGTTTGTAAAATTATGTACATGATTGAAGTACAATTTTATTATTATTTTTTTCGAAAGCATCTAACATGTTTCCATGCGAAATATTTTCATAAAACTTTTGTATTATACAAAAATATATATAACTGATCTAACTCCATGTTATTGACACCAACATATCTATTTAAAAATAATTATAAAATAAAAAGTTACGTAACAGAATTACATGCGTTTTACTAAAAACTATAAAAAGTATTTTTTAATGGGATGGGAATGAAAAGGGAATGAAAGCGTAATCTGCTCTATCGGTTTACGCTGGCAATGCAGCAATAGGGGATGATAGGTGAGAATGAAAACAGGAAAGTTGGCGCATCGTGATGAATTCCTCAAGAATTAACCACGATGATTTCGAAGAATCAAGATCGACTTATCTTCTCCGTTACTAAAAATTTCTTCACCTCCATGAAACACTTTTAATAAATTATTCCTTCATATGACCAATCCATGAATGGTAAACGAATGTACTGGTAAATAAGTTTTTGCTACTGAACGCATTAGAAAAGACCATACATCGCTGTCACATTCTGTCTTATAGCAAAGACTAAATCTTAGATTCGTTTAGCGCTAGTATAAGAGAGCAAATCATATCTAGTTTGCTGTCTTAACAAGCGGAGATTTGGCAAGTGACATATCATTATCTGTCACTTACCAAATCTCCCTTTGATATACCTACATAGAATACATGTTGTATTATATACATAGAATACAATACAATACATATTGCACTAGGCTTTTGCCCGCTAATTCATACGCGTAGATTTGTGAAATAGGAAAATAGACCACTTCTGGACGAAGTATCAAGATAAAATATACACCAATTTTTATGTTAGAATGGAGACCTTTAGGAATAAAACTTAAGACCGCATTGAAGCAGTAGTATTATACAATACCAAAATAGACAAAATTTTTATAAATTATTGTTTAAACGCAGTGTAAGACGACCCCCCACTAGATGAAGTGAGGACATGAAATGCATTGCAGGGAGTCAGTGAATGCAGGTGGCTCAGGACCGTTCTTAATGCCAGTCTATGGAGAAGTCTTATGTCCAGTAGTGGACGGATAGTGGCTGAAATGAATGGTTTTCACTTCTATTCCTCTGATTGAGACCCTTCACATCAATTTTTCTTAAATATTTCTCGTGTACAGAGATCGTCATATTTATAAATTTTATTATGGCAAGTCCCACCTAACACAATGAAGATTGGTTTTATACCAACCAAAAGACAATATTTAATTAATAAATATTTTTTACATTTTGCATCTCTACAATGGGTCTTCCATACTAAATTCACCCTGAATAGAACATTCAGGTGTGTAGTTTGTTTGTATTTAATGTTGCGTACATTGGAACATAGGGCGTGTAAGGGATGGACTACGACTACTTTAGAATTATAAGTGAAGCTTTCAGCTATGGGTAATGGCATGTTTGAGAGTAAGCAAGTCTTTTTAAAAAGGCACCTAAGAATCTCTCCCCCTCGCCCCTTTGGAAAACAATCTTGAATGATTTTGCTGCCATATACTGGGATGTGAACATTTTTTCAGCGGAGACATTGTTTAATTAAAACAACACAAATATTTAAATTATCCTTTTATTTACAAATTGTTGAAAATTAACATTTCATGTATCGAATTATTAAAGTACGAACGAAATTACCGAGTAACAAATTAATCTTGCGCACACGAGATTTCATAAACTTTTAGAATATTCTCAAAACATTAATTGACGAAATTCTAAATTCAATAAATCGTTCATTAAATTGTCTCAATTTGTACATATACCAGCGATGATACAAATTGTACAATACTTACTAAAATACAACCAACATAATGAAGACATACTATAAGTTCTAACACCACATATATTTATTTATTAGAGTCAAAACATTCATTGTATTGTTCCCTTTGCACTCCATTTGTCGCCGTATTTGCGACATTACAATGCTAACATTAAATCCATTGTTGAGTCTACGGCGACACGGTTGTTTTACTGACTCAGTGCCCTTAATACTTAAGCGAAATTTGTCTGTTTATTTTATAATATTTATGATAAGTTTATTATGTTTTCATTATAATAAATTATTGTTAAGTTAATGAATTATTGACAACCTCTATGAGTTACTAGGCTGGAGTGCAAAGGGTTAAAATATTTTATCATGCCAAGAACAAGGTACAAATTATCCTGATGCACTATGCATAACAATAGAATGTAATTCGTTTATACATTATAAATTACACGGACGGTATATTAGATTATTGTTTGAAATTAAAAAAACATTAGCACATTAAGACTATGGCAATAGAAGATTCGAGGTGAGAAGAAATAAAAGATCATTTTTAGAGATTCAATCTTACTCTTGAAATATAAACATAGTTTTATATATCGCGACATCAAAATTAAAAGCTTTTATGCAGTGTTAAATCTCAAGTAGTCATAAGTAACAAAACGCCGAGTTTGAAAATAAAAAAATAAAGACAATAAATAACTGGAAATCCATTATACAAATGAAATGACAGGCGGGCAGAATAGAAAACTTTCAAGATTACAATTATGTACAATCGTCGAAAAGTTCTACAATAGAAAATTTTAGTCCACAAACAAAACATAAAAAAAACAATCTGTCATCGGAAAACGTAGCAAGACGAACGTTTCTTGCGACGTGCATGCAAACATTCCACTTTATACTAACTACTCGTAGTTATAAATATTACTTAACAGTAATTGTGCCTAATTTAACGTAATGGTGTGTTGTGTGCACATTACACCAGCACCGCTCCGACACAGGAAGGACCATACTATTCCTAGGCTCTAAAGCTCAAGTAGAAAACAGTACAAAGGAAATGTAAGACAATTTATTATGAAGGATATTTTGTATTCAAATGTATTGCAACAAGTAAATAAATATAGGCTGAATTTTTATCTATAGCAGTCAACAAGGCCACTGAACATCATTAGTAGACAGTAAATTGTTAAAATTATAACCAATTTTCACAATCCACAATGGTATAACAGGCCCCATATTCGTATAAAATGTCCCTTATTACATTGGAGCAAGTGATGTTATAATGAGCTATAAACCGTAAAGCTAGCGTCGCATTGAACGGATCTTTCGCCACGGGACGTCAAAACAATTTTACTACAAACAATTTACTATTATCAAACACTCTTTCAAACGGACGAATCAATCGTCCTAGACATGTTTCGACATCCGCGTGCGGTTATGCCGTCGACGTCATATCGAAAACATCTGTAGTTTTTTAATACTATAAGCTACACTCGACAGACAGTCCGTGTGGACTTAACATGTTTAATATACTCGACACCATAAAAAAATCCGCTACAGAAAATAATTTTTATATGACGGTAACGAATTAGATGGAGATTTACCGCCGCAGACGCCGCGACGATGGCCGATCCGCAATGTAACGCTAACTTACCACACTCGAATGGCGGACACGATCGACACATACTTGTCATAATTTAAAAAATCACTGGCAACACCCAAAAATCCTCTCTCTAACGGGCTCACCACGTGATCACACTTCGTTGAGTCGTAACGTTATCAGATAAATTTGTATAAAAATAAATCTTAATGTGATTAACAAATTAATATATTACACGCGATCCGACCAAAAATCAGTCGAACCTCTACGCCTCTGGGCTTTTTCCAAGCAGTCGATGGTGCGACTCAAATTGTTGAATACTGCATCTGAAACAATGTAGTAATAATTGTAGAAGCAATTTCGAGGGCGAGTGTTCATAGTACAGTGTAGTTCATATATAAGAAGCAAAATTATGGAGGTGCACCATTAATTAAAAAAAAAAACCACTACCATTCCTGTAACAATACCTCTAAGTCAAATTTCTAGGTCACCATTTCTCTACACCATAAACATTATTATGTATATTTAAATAAATTATCATTTGTGATTTTTTTTTCAATATTTTTAATTATATTTTAAAAAATTATGATAAAATTACCTATTTAAATTTTTTTCTCGTGACACCGTCCACTACATAAAGATTAGCCATATTTCTTAATTAATAATTTTAATTAGGCCCCACAGAGGCTTTTAGTGCTCAGTTCTCTCCCAAGGACCTGATGAATGTAAAAAAAAAAATAATCACCCAAACAGTGCCGCTAGCGGTTCTAGTCAGAACCAGAATCAGAACCGTCACTAAAATTGTACTTCTGCGCGGTCCTCGGCCGCGAGGAGGTGGTTCGAGGCACCACGTCCTTCGCCACCTCTCGCGCCTCCAAATCCGACCCCGACTCCGAATCACTCCATTCCTTCTTTGTTTTCTTTCGGGGATTCGCCTTCTTCTTTTCCTTCTGTAGTAAGAAACATTTATTTATCTAACTCTTTTATTGCAGCAAAAATATAAAATATACAATGACAATTAGAAAATTCTAGTGAAATATAAGAGAATAAAGTATAGATAAAAAAAACGAAACGGACGAAAGATACACCATCAGTTTCCTTTTTTCTAAATTCATAGCAGGCTAGTGTATAGAAAATGTGTGTGTAAAATGTATGTATGGTTATATGACCAATAAAACCAAGTGACATATCTTGATGAATTTGACTCCTATGAACTAGTCAATAGGTTGATGCGTTTTTATATGTCTATCCCTCTCTAACGCATTGACAATCTCATAAATACAACAAGCAAAATACTATGTGAATTATGCATTCCATCTATTCTATTCCAAAATATTTGAATTACACTGATATTAATCTATGGTTCAAACCGGAAACTAAAAAATTCAAGCTGTTTATCAACAGAAACTACAACCTACCTTTTTACTATCGAATATACTGTCGTCGTCACTGTCCTGGCTGAATACATTCTTGGCGGGCCTCTTCTTCGGTTTCTTGTCCTCCTTCTCTGTGTGCAGCTTCCGTTTAGGCGCCGCTTTCTTTTTCGGCGGCGGGTCGACCGCGACTGGTTCATCGTCGCTGACCGGATACGAATTGTGATTCTGTTTCGGTTTTTCCAATTCTTCCTTCTTTGTGTCCTCAATCAGAGAGTCGAATAGACAATCTATAAAAACAATAAAATATAATTTAATAGAGGTGAACACCTGATTTATTTATTTTTTTATACCACTTAAAATGGCAAACAAGCTGACGGTCCACCTGATGGAATGTGGTAACCGTCGCCTATAGACATGAGCACTACCATGGACATAACAGAGTATACTGTTTCGCCCATGATACCCCCATGCGTTGCCATTCCTGAGGACTCGGATGTTATTCCTCTGTACCCAGTAAATTCACTGCCATATCCCACCCTTCAAACCGAAACACAGCCATGCAAACACAACTGCTTATAGATCAATATATGGAACAGTTGTAATCAACTGTGGCTCGTTCACAAACTGCAAAGATATAAATTAACATGTGTATCAACTCACCCGAATCCATCTCGGCAGGCTTCTTCTTGTCGGCATTCTTCTTGACGTTGAAATCATCGTCATCACTGATAGACAGAGCCCGCGGAGCCTCCGTGTCCGACTCCACTTTGTTGTCAAGGAGCTCCACATCCGAATCTGAGGATGACTCGTCTGAACCATCCTTATATTTTTGTACCTGTTTTTAAATTAAAAACTCTCAATAAACATTTAAGAATTTTAAATACTCTTCAAAGAATAGTAAGGTAAGGTTAGGTTTACGCACAACGGCCCAAATGAGAGACTAAGTGCGGAAAACAGAGTCTTTCTTACAAGGTAAGGTTAGATAGAAATCATTAGCAACCATTTAATATTCACACACTATTATAACTACTTTTATTAAGATGCTATACCAGAAATAGACATTGCACCCGTGTGAAGCCGGGGCGGGTCGCTAGTATATATATATATATATATATATATATATATATATATATATATATATATATATATATATATATATATATATATATATATATATATATATAACAGACGATAATGGAATAGTAGCCCCACCTGCGTTAAAGGTATTATACACTGGCGCAGCACCAGTTAAGGACCATGGTGATGAAAACACCTGGAATTTAACACAGTGGTTTCCAGGACCATGTGGAAGTCTACCTGACAGAGTATATTGTTAGTAATAGAACTGGTAGCCCCAGAGACAGTTGATTTCCCCCACGTATACACTGCGAGTACTAACGTTGGCGGCGGCGCGGCGAGCCTGCGGCCGCGGGCGGGGCGCGGGCGGCGGCAGGCTGCCGGCGTCCGAGTCCGACGCCGAGCCCGAGCTGCTGCCGCTGAACGACATCTTCTTCTGCAACACACAAGAACACAGTCGATTTGAGACGATTATCAAGTTGTAGGGGTTCATGCCACTTCTCCATGGTTACGGGTTCGATCCCCACACAACACAATGATTAGTGAAATAATAACTTTTATGAGTTTTTATTCTTTCTTAATCGTTGAACATCGATATATGCCGGCGAGGCGCCAGCGAAAAATAATAAAAGAAGGTCAGTTGGCCCGTCGTGACGAAATTATCAATAAATTAACCAAGATGGTTTCTAGAAAAAACTGCGTGGAGGTTGACCTAATAGGTACGTATTGCTAACGATGGAAATGTTATACCCCGTTACCAACGATTCCTTCGTATAGCGTGAGTTATGCTGTATTACGTTTACTGAAATAAATTTTACTTACATATTATTTTTATAAAGACTCCTATTGAGTCCGAACTAGTTGAGCAACCCCAAAATACCCACGTGAATAAAGCTTATTTAAATAATTATAATACAAACATTTGTGTTCGCGAGTATGTCTGTTTGTTAGTCTCAATGTTTTCTATATACAATTTGTAAGTATTTGTAGCAATTCTCTAGTATCTCTATTTTTTTTTTATTTAATATGAAGGTACAAATAAAAAGTGTACCAAACTTCGTCTTAAAAGAGAACCCTTCCATGCTAGTCGTATTACAGTAAGGTAATGACTCTCGCTCAAACAGCGTAAACCAATATGAACTGTAACTACTTAATATACAAACACTTCTACTAATGTGTTTATTTTTGTTTTATAAAACGAACAATGGCTGACACAAGTAAACAACAAGTTTGGGACCAATTGGCAGTGGTAATATGTCAAATATATTTACTATTTACTAATTTTACAAAAGTCAAAATAATTATTAGTGTAGGATTTGTACTACTCATGCACATCATATTTTACCCTACATGCTCCGATAAAAATGATATGAGAACCGCTAAGATAGTTTCTTGAGAGCCAATTAAAATATACCTACAGAAATTTTTAAGTTGGGCAGATTACAAAACTTTATTGTATCTTTTATTTTAACATTAATAAAAGCACATACCTTCTTAGGTTCCTTCTTGAAGTTGAGCTTCGTCTGTTTTAGACCATCAGCCTTCTCTGGTTTCTCCACTTTCTCCTTCTTCACCCGTGCTTTCGGCTTTTTCTCACCACTTGATGGACTTACTCCAGTTGGATCATCCTGCAATAGTAAATTAATATTAACACTTCAGTAAATTTATTATTCCTTTTCATTTAAAGCAATAAGAGTTAATAAAATGTTTTGTTTTTTTTAGATTAAAATATATGTTACATAAATGTCATGTTTACTTACAGGATCATACTCCTTCTTGTGTTCCTTCCTAGACTTTGCCTTCTCAGCAGCTTGGATCCTCTTAATGAGGTCCTCGGAAATCTTGGGCTCCACTCGTCTGCCATTATCCGATGGTATTATATCCATTAGGGACTTGCGGTTCTTCTTATTGGCAGCCTTAAAATGGAATAGCATATTTCATAGTGCAGCTTGAATCTTTTTTGAGTTTAAATTTACATTTAAAAATGGATTTTTGCAAAAGTACACTAAGAGAGAATGCTATAAAACTGAAATATTGTAATATTTTTGTAAAATATGATCACTATAGAGTAAAATCTTTTCTTTAAAATTACTTGTTTATAGTTAAAATTTTGTAAGAAGAAAATACTTTAGGAAAAAAACATGCTTCATTACTATAACGTCAAATATGGGGTAATCAAAATATTGACAGGTTTTTATTACTTTGTTTTTCAACTTACCTTCATTCTATCCATCTATTTGTTTGTAAGCATAGAAAAATAGAAAATTAATGAGACATGATATGAGGACTGAAAATTTAAATATTTGATAATTTTATTAATTTTTTTTTATGCAACTTAGAATGGTAAACAAGCTGAAAGACCACCTATTAGATAGTAGTAACAGTCGCCTATACACATGAACTATTACAATGAGTTTTCTTAAAAAAAAAAAAAACAGTAATTTCTTAGGTATTATTTACCAGTGCCTTAGAGGTCTTCTTGTTAATGCCAAGCTCCTCCTGTCTCTCCTGCTCCTCAACTTCGTCGAGTTTCAACAGCAGCGCGTCCAAATCCTCGCGCCACAACATCGAAGGGGTCTTCGCTCTGTCAAGATATTTCAAGTTTCACTTATTATAGGAATTATTGCGATTTTTATGCAAATTTCATGGCATTAACCTACTAATGTGTCTAACTACACCACTAATATTATAAATGTAAAAATAAATTTGTTTGTTACCTTATAACAACACCTTTAAAACTTAACTTAAAAATCACTATAAAACTTAGTACACACATACTATATACGATGGAGGATACTTTTTATCCTGGGTCAGTAAACATATCCCGGTGGGGGAAAGGGATTGTTGGTAACGCGGACTACCAGTCCCATTGCTAGCACTATACTGTCAGGTCGACCTCTACGTGGTCCCTCGTGGAAACCATCGTACTAAATTCCAGGTGTATTCATTACGATGGGCTAACTGGTCTGCTTTTTATTGTCACCTATCACCACTCACTGGTGTCACACCAGCGTATACCGCTAGCGCAGTTGGGGTTACTATTCCACTACCATCTTTTAAAATCATTTCCCGGTCACGCAAATGAAGTCATAGTTAAAAGCTAGTTTTTATATAAAGTAAATCAACCCTTAACTTTTTTATTCACACTAAATTAATAAATTTGGTGATAGAAAGCAACTATAAGAACCCAAAAATTAATTCGAAAAAGCCAGTAAAAGGTAGGCAGGCATATTGTACGTTATGTTCATTAAAGCAATAAATGTTGGCAACTGCCCCTAACTATAAATAAAAATTGTTAATACACACGCAACACCCCAAAGTAGTCTCATTAGCTAAAAAAAAAGCCTTCTTATTAGACATTTATCTATTACAAATATCTATTCAATTTAATGAAAAAGTTTCATCTGGTTATACTCTTGTATTTAAAGTATTGTATGATGCAACATAATTATATTACAAATCAAGTCCATTGTATGTCTCTATTGTTTTCAAAATATTTTTCATTATATAGATAGAGGTTTATTTAAGCATAAATGTATCAGATATTCTTTTTACTTGAGTGCAGTGAGCTCCGCCAATTTCTGGTCTCTCTGTTTGAGGAGTTCATCCTTCTTCTCCTTGGTGAGCATCCACATGGACATGCCCAGCAGGTAGTTGAACTTCTTCACTTCCTTTAGTTGCTGGAATGCTTTCTCTGTAAATATATAAGAAATGTCCACAGTACTGATATTTATTATTTGCATTGATGTTTATTATTATTAATAACTAAATTAAATATCCCACTACTAAAATATATTTTATACTACTGTTGATACTCTATAAACCAATACTAAGAATATACCCTGGCAAATCAGCCTCCACGTGGTTCCCCCCCTGTAAACCGCCATATTGAATTACAGGCGTATTCATCACGACGGGCGAACTGACCTGCCTTCTCATTCTCACCAATCATCCCTCACTGGTATCCTGCCAGCGTATATTGTCACTCTCAGACGAAGTTACCATAATATTATCAACCATTAAAAAAACAACAGATCGACATCCTGCCTGGAAGAGTTCGCTTTTAGCATTTTCTCAGTGTAATATTTTCTTGTAATTGTTTGTATTTATAGTTATATTACTATTGTAATGTTATGTATAATACAATAAAGAGTATCTATCTATCTATACACATAGTTCCCCCTAGAGACCATCATGATTAACTTTTGATGGGTCAACTGCAGGTCAGTTTTTATCCTCATCTATCATTCCTCACGGGTAAGCCGTTAGCGTATACCAGTAGTGCAGAGGAAGATTACCATTTCATTTTCATCCATTAAAAAAATATAGATATGATTACCAGGATCAACTGGTTTGCCCTTCTCCTCTGGCTCCGGTTCCTCCTCAGATTCTACAGGCTCGTCGTCTGCAATGATCTCTAGGCCCTGCATTTTGGCGGCTCGCTTCTTCCACTCCGCAATCGGATCCGGTGCATATCCTGAAAGATTTCAAATACAAAAATATACAAATATGATCACGCCTACAATCCTTAACTGAATAGCCAGAGACATCTGTCAATTGTCACAATATGTTGAAACAAATAAACACAATGTCACAAATAAATTGCCAAATAAATCTGACACAATAATACACTCGATTTATTGCCATAATTAGAAAATACTTTGTGAGTGAATTCACTTGGTGAAATATACATAATTGATTGAATCAATGGTGGACCAACTGGGGACAGAAGGGGGCGGCACGTCCCGGGTCTCTGGTCCAGAGGGTTAGAGGCCCCCTGCGTCTCCATTTTCCCTGTCCATATTCATATTCTACATACTTTTATTCATGCGTTATTTAACTTTTCCTTGCAAGATTTTAACTAAATGTAAACAATTACATCAAATAAAAAAATTACAACAACTTCAAAACTGAAGGCCTCATTCAGCTTTGCCGTCGCGGGCCTCTGATGGACTTAGTCCGTTACTGAATTGAATTGTGTAAACAGATAATCAAATCTCTAGTGATAATAAGTAAATAGTTTTGCTAAAAATGTTATCAGTAGAAAAGTCTTATCCATGGAGGATAAAAAAGTAGTTAAAAAGGGGCTAAAGTGTAGTTAACTAACAAATTTATTTAAAGTACTCACCTCTTTTTTTTAATGCAACTTAGAATGGTAAACAACCTGATGGAAAGTGATAATGGTCACCTATAGACATGAATAGTACCATGGACATATCAGAGTATACCTACTGTTTCGCCCATGATACCCCCCATGCGTTGCCATTCCTGAGGACTCAGATGTTATTCCTCTGTACCCAGTAAATTCACGCCATATCCCACCCTTCAAACCGAAACACAGACATGCAAACACAACTACCTCATGGTTGAAACACGAATAGGACAGAGGTACCCAAGCAAACGACTTTTGTACAAAGTCTCCCTCTGGTGAAATGGATGTGCACGGGGGTCCATGCCTTGCCATTCCTCTGCATTAAGCTTTTGTACCTCTGTACCCTGTAAATTCACTGCCATATCTCATCCTTCAAACCGAAGCACAACCATACAAAGTCAACTGCTTCACAGTAGAAACACAAATAGTACAGACCTCTTTTGATGAGTTCCTCCACCATCGCCTTCCGTTTCTTGTTCTCTACCACGAGCCCTTTGTCGCACTTCTCCAGGATAAAGCGCGCCTGGTTCGAAAGCTTGTCGGCTTCCGCTTGCAGCTGCCCTTCCAAGTAGTCCTTCCGACGCACGTAATATCTCATGCGAATGTCGTAGAAAACTCTGAGGATCTCTTCTACTTTATCGTACCTAAAATTTATTCACAAACTTTAACATTCAGAGTGATGGCAGCATGCTTAACTGTGGTAAAGAGATACCGAAACCAAATCCCAGCCTATTCTTTCCCTATTAAGAGTCTAGTACTCGTCAACCAAGATATTCGGCGAGCCCCTTTACCACTTCATATGGCACAACTCTATTTCCTTAATCCTCCTGATGTAACTATGCCTTGATCTAACCAGAAGGGATATCTTACTTTCTACTATAATATTTAAAAATATTAATAATTTAATTATAATGTCCTAAATAGTCGTGTGATATAGTGTCCAAAATTTTTTCCTTTCTGATTTAATTTTTTTTTTTAATTTTTCTTTTCCATTTTATCTATGCTTCATTTATACTAATAAATAAATAGCAATTTCAGCCAGAATCACTGAATTTTCAAACTTACGTATGGACTATTAAAAAAAAAAACTTTATGTATGAGAAGGTCGTTAACCTAAAGAAATCCTGTATTTTCAAATCACACCATACCAATTTCTATTGACACAAACATGATTAAACTTTTAGCAAACCAAACACAAGTTTATGTGCATTCATAAAAAAAGTTACACTGATAGTACAAAATTATATATAGATTTTGAGAATCTGGTTATAGAGTGGCGTTTGCTTAAACTTACTTGTTCAAACAGTTGTTGTGATCGAACGCGTTCATACACGTCATTGATATAGTGGTCTGTAGTTTGAACACTTTGTGGATGCCTTCCGATTCCACTTCAGCCAGCTTTCCAGGCAGGAGTGACACCACGAAACGCACGGTCGTATCCGTGTTATATTCCTGAAATGAATACAGTATCATTTATATCAATAGGCACTTATTACACAGAGTAATAACTGAAGCAGCTTGGTTATTTATTGAATTGATCACTTTCTGCTTATGATCCAAGTTAACTCGGATGTCCCCAAGTACTGCCAATGTAGAACAAGAAAATTTTATAAGTGATCTAACCAAATGGAAAAAATAAATAATGATGTTATCAACCATTAACTGTGCACTGCTGGACATAGGCCTTCTCTATAAAGGAATGGCAACCCCACCCGCGCTATCGGTATACACCGGCGAGGTTCGAGTGAAGGATGATAGATGAGGATGAAGTAGGTCAGTTAGCCCATCGTGACGAATTCAACAAGAATTGTTCACGATGGTTTCCAGGGGGAACCACGTGGAGGTCGACTTAATAGGGCATATTGCTAGCAATGGGGCTGTCGAACTCCATTTGCTAACAATCCCTTTCTCCCCCGGAATAAGGGGGTTATGCACGTAGTTGCCAACTTGGCAGTAATTACAGTAGGCTTTGAATTACCAAAGATCAACTTTAAAACATCAGTTTTAAAAAAGACGCTGCTGACCTCCCCTCTAACCCTCGACTATTAAATTACAAAATCCACGAGAAAGCAAGGGGTGGCCCGATCTTTACCGGAACCTCACGACTAATAATAGTCGTGTGATTCCGGAGAATTTAAAATTAGAAAAACTAGACCATTATCAATACATTGTCACAAATTACATCATCATTACTCATCTCTATAGGCGATGGTTATCATTTTACATCAGTAAAGCCATTACAAAATGTTCCTTGCCTACAACGTTCATAGTAGTAAATAATTTTAGGATTGAGATCTAAACTATACTGATCATAAAAATAATATTAAAAAGTATTAATTAGCTATTGTAAAATTAAATTGGCACTTACCCTATATTCTGATATGACTGGTTTCACTTTCTCGGTGCCCAGCATGGGTTCTAGAACATTCTCCTTATAATTTTGTGTCCACGTTCCAATCGGAAGTTCAGTTATTTCAATTTTATCATTAGGTAGGATAGCAGCCTCGCCGGATATGACGTATTTGTCGCCGAACCCTTCTATTGTCCCGCGGAAGTTTTTGTACCATGGATGCATCTGTTTGGGCTCTTCACCATCGAGCATACGACTGGAAAATTAAATTATAGAAATTACAATTATGTAAACATTTAAATAACCATGTGGTCCCGGCATAGAATAGATCACCCCTTCCTTTCCTGGTGGGTGTCGTAAGAAGCGACTAAGGGAAGGCGAGGGGTGGGCTGCAGCGTCGTTCTTACAACATCTCTAAAACGTAACTGCGGTTACCAATCCGCCTGCCAAGCGTGGCAACTACTGCCAAAACCTTCCAAGGGGGAGACTTATGTTCAGCAGTAGACAATAAAGGCTGATATGATAATGATATAACATTTAAAACGTAACAAAAATCATTAAAATTGTAAACACTCGCCTTTATTTCCTTTGGGATGGGCAGAAATCAGGGAATCCATTCAGTTACTCTTTTTTTAACATATCTAACTTCCTCCATATACATCTCGCCATATAGTCCCTCAATTTATAGAAGAAATATATAAAAGATCTAGCCACACACAAACCTCCTAAATAAAAAAAGCCACATCTAATTGCCTGGTTCTCAAACTATTATGTATGTCAAACGAAATAATCGTCTAGAATGCATCCCAAAACACCCAGAACTAAATAAAGTTAGAAAAGAAAAATATGTTTCCTAAATATTCTTATGAAACAAGCAACTTACCGTATATTTTCAACAATATCCCTGGGGTTATAGTTGGGTATCTTTGTGGACCAGCCAGTGCCGATACCTTCGGCTCCGTTCACCAGCACCATCGGGATAATGGGTATATAGTGAACTGGTTCTATCTTCTGGTTATCTTCAAATTCATGCTGGCAAAGTATTAAAATTAAATTAGATTCTCTTTTACAAAAAACATACACTACTTCAACCGACTTCAAAAAATAATCTCTGTTCACTTGTATTTTTTTTTTATATTTGTTACCTTATAGCTTCGTCAGTTCTAAACCGATTTGGAAAATATTTTTTTTTATCTAAAAGGATGGTCGATTGGAAATTTTCTCAAAATCGGTTCAGAAGTTTAGTTTTACGATAAAAATAATTGGTTTTGACACAGCTGAAGTCAATTTTTTTGTGGAAAATCTTTATTATCTCTAAAAAATATTTTTAAAATCCAACATATTCAAAGAGGATTGTCAATAATAGAATAGTTTAGTTTAATAGGGCCACTAATGCTAGTAATTTACTGATTCAGACCGCCCTCCAAGCGGTTCTGGAAACCATCTTGATTCAACTAATATAATAATCAACTAGGTATTATTTTGTGGATCTTGAAATTTTACTGTCAACAATCCCTGACCGCTATTCTGTCCACGCATATTTTGCAACACGTCTTTCACCTCTGTCAAATTCTTGATGAATTTGTCAAGATGAGCCAACTGACTCGACTTCATCTCGCCTGCGTATACCAAGCAGAGGATAATACTATACCATTTTCATAAAAAAAAACAACATATTTACAGATGCATTATATGAATTATTCACTTACAACCAACAGCGGATCATCATGCGGATGGAATATAAGTCTTGTGAGTTGCGACATAAGGGTGAATATGTATCGAGGACTCGCAGAGTCCTTGCCACCACAGAGTCGAGTACCGAACTGACCGCGTGGCTGCAGTAGGTTTATGTTGTTAGAACCTACATAGTTCTGGGCCAAGTTCACGATAGTCATGGCAAGTGACTGTTCACCTGGAAAATTAAATAAATTATATATAGGTATTTTTTAAGATTCAAAAACACTAAAATATTAAATTTAATACCTATAAAATAAAATGGAAATAAAACTAATATGAATGCATATATTTAAAAGGAAGTCTGAACTGATTTTATAAAATAGCTAAAGAAATTTGGATAAAACCACTAAAGAAAAATATGTAACATTTGAAGATATACAATTTTCATAAGTTCTAGGGAAAATAAACGTATTTTACATAAAATATCTATAGATAGATATACAGTAGAGATTATATAAATAATTTAACCATCCCAATATAACATTATATTGCATAAGATTGCAAAATTTGGTTTTTATAAATCTCTTATGTTATCCCTAAATTAACTACCTAGGCTACAGGGCCTAGACAATTTTACCAACACTGCATATTTATTGATATAATAAATAGAAATGTGACAAAAAAAAAATAAGACTTAAATATTATAATCATTACCGTGATGGTATGCGGAATGTTCAGCAACGGAACCCGCCAGCTGCGCGACTTTAACTTCGCGTTTGTCGTTACGCTTTATACACGTGAAAATCACTTTACGCTGGCCCGGCTTTAGGCCGTCTATCATTGAAGGAATCGACCTGCAAAATGCAAATGTTAAGTTTATTATTTTAATTATCGAACATAAACTTTTTTAAAGTGTCAAAGTCATTACAACTCACCTTACGTTGTCACCATTTGAAAAGAGAACCAGCTCCAAGTTTACGAAGTCTGAATAGGTGACAGCTTTGGTCTCCTTTGTGTACAAATATCTTTCCGGTAGGCCAATCTCCTTTCTTCTCTTCACCTCGTCCATGTGACTTGTCAACCACTCCTTGCGTTGATCGGCCCCTTTCTTCGAAAACGCCAACTCAATGTGGTGATCATCAGTAGTACCGCTGTACTTAAACCTAATTCTATGCCTGTCCATGTTCTGGAAGTATTCTTTTGCCTCCTTTGATGTGGAGGTACCCAAACCTTTGTAGTATTTGATATTATATGTGTGATGATTCTCTGTTTCTCTCTTCCATTCTTCAAATTCAGGTAATGAGTAAAATGATATCTCTTTATCCTTCTTGGTTGCTTTCACAATAGGTGTGATGAATTCCTCTAAGAATGGTAATTTGAGCAACTCGGGCCAGTTGTGATGAATGAAATTGATGATCAAACCCTTGATATGTGAACCGTCCTGATCCTGATCAGCCATGATCATCACTTTGCCGTATCTTAATGACTTCAAGTCATCCATTGTGTTATATTTCTTTTTATACTGTAACCCGAGAATTTTTATTAAATTGTTTATTTCTACATTCTCAAGTACCTGCTTGTGTGACGCGTCTCGTACATTTAAAGGTTTACCCTTCAATGGGAATACTCCATAATGGTCTCTGCCCACTACACTAAGTCCAGACACAGCCAAAGTTTTCGCTGAATCTCCCTCAGTGAGAATTAAAGTACAGAGATGTGCATTCCTTGTACCAGCATCGTTTGCGTCCTCCAATTTCGGTATACCTTTAAGTTTACTCTGCTTCTTACCTGACGCCTTCACCAGCTCAGTTTGCGCCTTAAATTTGGCCCAATTCAATACGGACTCGACCAGTCCAGATTTGCTCACGGCAGTTATAAATTTCTCAGAGAAATTACATTTAGATCCAAAGCTTTTAGCTTGAAGCGTCATATTTTCTTTTGTTTGCGAATCAAAGGTTGGGTTTACAATAAGACAATTTATAAACATCCACATGTGATACTTTATTTGGGAAGGCTTAATATTTACACCTCCTTTGTTTTTCTTTTTTAATACTTCCTGAATACTTTTTACAACACTATCGGACACGGTGTCAACGTGTTTTCCACCCTTAGTGGTAGCTATAGAGTTCACGAATGAAACCTGTTGGAACCCACTGTCAGATAAAGTAAGCGCAACCTCCCAGCGTTCGTTCACTTTCTCATATACTACTTTCAACGGTTGTCCATTTTCATCCTCTTTACCTTTTATATATAAATCTACATAATCTTTGAATTTGTTTATTTTTAACCTTTCCCCGTTCAAATAAACTTTAACGCCTTGGGAGGACGCGGCCACGTCGTACGCGCGTCGTTTCATCAACGCAACAATGTCATCTTCAAGTTTCTCCATTTTAAACTTGGCCAAATCGGGGCTGAATGTCACTTTAGTAAAATCGTCGTCTTTTCCTGCTTCCTTAACCTTAGGTTCAGAAGCTTTCGTCATATTTGAGCCCCAAGTTTGTTTAAAATGTTTCTTGTATTGTTTAGAAGCTGTTTCAACTGTGAACTTAGTTGAGAAAATGTTACAAAGTTTGGCACCATAACCGTTCCTACCTCCCGTCACCTTCTCCTCCTCGTCATTGTAGTTTGATGATGTCAATAAATGTCCGAAAATCATGGTCGGTACATACATTTTCTCATCTTTATGCATCACAACAGGGATGCCGCAGCCGTTATTATAAACCGAAATCGTATTCAGCTCTTGATTTATGTCAATTTTTATTACATCCATTTTTGGGTCTCGCTGTTTGTTGTCCGCTGCGTTTACTAGAATTTCGTCGTATATTTTGTACAAGCCTGTAAAAAGAGTTTCAATTTAGAATTTGTGAGATCTCTTTGAATTACAATTTTATTATGAATAAAAGTTTATTTACTTATTTATAATAAGATACATCAATAATATTTTTACAATAATTAAACAGAATAGTTATAAATGCTACAAGTACGCTTAAGGCTAGAGAACATATCAATTAGAGGCATATACAGCTATCACAGTTAATTTATACTAAGGTAACAATCATACAATTAATGAAGACTTAATTATTAATCTAAACTATTAATAAGCTTAATAAATAGTAAATTGTTTACGGCTTTCTTATATGATAACATTCTGTTAAAATGCGTAACTTTTTTTTTACAGATCCAATATTGCAGTTACGGGGGGAAGGGATTTTTAGTAATGGAGACTAAGAATCCCATTGCTAGCAATATACCCAACCAGGTCGACCTCCTCGCGGTTCCCCCTCGAAACCATCGTGACTAATTTATCGTTCAATTCGTCACAATGGGCTAACTGATCTACCTTTTCATCCTCACCATTCATTCCTCACTGGTGCCCCACCAGTGTATCCCGATAGCCCAGGAAGGGTTACCATTCCATTATCATTCATTAAAAAAATCCTAGGGATCAAAATATAAATTAATAGTACCTGGTACAAAATTGAGTTCCCTTTGCACCATGCATTCCTTGGTTTTGTCATACACCCACATAGTCTCAGTAGCCCGCTCAACAGACCCAATGTATGTGTCAGGTCGGAGCAGAATGTGCTCCAACTGTGATTTCTTCTGGTAAATCTTTTCAATCGTAGCCTTCTGTCCTTTGGCTGGCGGCGCTGGAGGCGCTGCCTCCGTCGTGCCATTCTGGCTATTCATTTTGTTAAACATAGTCTGTAAATATTTATCTATGTAAGTATGTGATAAAATAAAAATGATAATAAAGAACAGGCCTTGTTGACTTAAATTCTATTCATTTCAAAATCTTTCCAATCGCAAATTTACAACAAAAAATATTTCTAAGTCAACCTTTACTTAGTTCTGGAAACAATAGTGGTTAATTCATAGTAAATACGACATAAGGGAGAAACCAACGTCTGGCCGATGAAAAACTTCATTCTCTCCTATCATCAATGTGCAGTTATGATAACTATTACGTTTAAATAAATAAAAAAAAAACATTTTCAAATTCTTTTATATTTGCAAATAAACACCAATTATTTATTAAATAAGCCCATATAAAAATAAAATTTTTAATGTAATAACTACTGGTTTAACTTACATATATATTAGATTAAAAAAGCTTGACTGTATAAATAAATAAATAAGAACTTTTAACATCGTTCATTTGCATACTTGATGTCCTTCATTCCAATAAAAATAAATGTCCTCTGTGGAACCCAATATAATAAAGTAGAATTGATGTTACTAGATGGTAGGATAACAAATGCAATGTCACTGACCCACCAATGTCAAGTCTGCGTACGTAGCACAAAATACTTATAGGTAATTACTTTTTTATGCTATGTACAGTCAGCATAAAAAATCAATGAACATTTTGAGAACATGAAAATGTCTATTTATATATATTTCTATAACATACACATGAAACTCATTTTGACCTATGTTCATGCACATTTGACGCTAAAACCTTGTCAACCTATTTGTGTGCAATAGTTTATATGGGCATTGAAAATAACAATTGACTTTTGATTTTGACTGTACCTATATTTCTATACTTGGCAGTATTAATAAATAATCTTATTTTTTTATCAAATTCACAGTACATAAATTTAACAAATAACTAAATTAATATTATTTAGATAAATACATATATAAAATATCACTGCATTTTTATTCTCTGCACTTGCATTTGTGTACACTTTATATTATTATTAAAGGAAATTCAATGAAAAGACATGAGAATCTGATAATAAATGTAATGACATTGATCCACCAATATGATAGAGCACAGAAATTTATTATCACTAAAAACTATACTTTTTTTTTTATTTAATGTATTTTATGGCATATGCTGTATATGTCCTGGCATAGAATGGGCCACCCCTTCCTTTCACATGGATGTGGTAAGAGGCGAATAAGAGAGGCAGAGCTTAAAATATCTCTAAAAACCCCCAAAATTCCCCTTATGGGGAACACTTATATTCAGCAGTAGACAGTTAATGGCAAAAATAATAATGTCATATATCTAGACTATTCTTACAAATTCCTTCTTATGTCTCATAATACTAACCATAAATTCATCTTTTAGCCATAAAAAATTCTGAAAATTTTTATTTTGATTCAATCAATTTATTAATTAAATAATAAAAATAAATCTTCAGATTCAAAATAACACTAACATTAAATATCAACTCTAAAAACTAAACAAATTTTTATTTTTTCATTGCAATTGTGAAAATTTAAAGAAAATTTGTTTTAAAATGAAATAGAATTTATTAAACTGTATAAAAAAATGGTATTAAACTAGTCGAGCATTCTCGACTAAAAACATTTAAGTAATTAAGTAGTTTAACTAATATTACAGTTAAAATAAAAATTCTATTTAATTTCAAAAGAAATTTTCTTCCTATATATGCACAATGAAATAATTATTATAACATAGTATTACAACTCTATTCTCTGGTTATTCAGTGACCTAAAATAAACCACCGTGGAATCTCTAATGGCAGTCAGTGAATGCATTAGAACCTTTTATATAAAGTAAAAGTACCCTTTATACCTGTGGGTGCTCAATGGTCAAGATTTCGTAAGTGTATAATGCTTTAATAAAGAACTTTTAGTGAGATCAATCCATAACAATATTTCGTAGTTATTTTGCCTATACATAATTAAGCATCAACAAAAAAAAAATAACAGCTGTAGGTCAGTTTAGTCTTACGCCACAAAATAATGATATATGAAAGGTAGTTCACATAAATATTTTTAAACATTCAATCAGTGTCCAATCCCAAACGAATAATTACCAATCTTATAAATGTAAGAGATACTTGTCTTTCATAATAAGGTTATTATTACAAGAATCAATAACGTACGCTCACTTTAATATAAAAATAAATGTGTAAACAAGCTAATTGAACAAGTTTCAAGGAGAACAGAGATAATTTAAAATTTTATTAATCTATGTCGAATCAATATATTAATTCGATAATAGATATGTGTAAACAAGTACATAACTAAACAATAGCATATGTACTATAATAAATAAATATCAATTTGACCGTTACAAGATAAAATGCCGCCAATAACGAGTACTTACCTTTATATCAGCCATCTTGCTAATGCTACTTAGAAGACGCGAGCGATCAACGCTATATAATATATGTTTAAAATTTAAGACAAAACATAAGTTAACAGTATTGGCTTTTAAGAAATATCATTTTTATTACAGCAAATGGCAATTTAACCAAACCGTAATGAAATGACGAAGACGCCGAATTATCACCATAGACAATTGTTTTTTTTTTTTCCTAAAGCATTAATATTTGCTTGCCAGAATGCTAACCAGTTATCATTAAAAATTGTCTACGATTATAATTGTACACAAGGTTTATACATATGTTAAAATCTAACTAATGTGCAATCTAACATATATATCCACGTGTAATTAGGTATTAAAGGATCGACCCCATTCTATATGTTTGTTTTAACTATAAGACAAAATTACTACTACAGAATTATAAACTATACGTAGCTATAAAACAATACTAATAATATAGTTTTACCATTAATTTTGATAATTTTATTTTGATTCATTTCATCTGTAAATATTTTTGGAAATGGCAACCATGAAGATAAGTATGTCAAATGTCGTTTCTCAAATGTCAAGTGATTTCCTTATTTTTTTTAGGTTATAAAAATATAAATATAAATTCATAATTTATAATTATTAAATACTACTTCGATAAAACAGTTATATCACAAACACTAATTATTAGTGGTAAAATTCAAAAAGATTTAATGAAAAATGTTACTTTTATCATGTGCCATAAATAGTTTAAGGAGGTGCATTGCACAGCGCTATCCTCAAAAGTACTGGGACTTTGCTAACAGGACACAAAAAGTATCATTTAGTTCAGTAACTACTAGGACTATACACGATGTGAATACAAACGTAATAAAAGATGTTATTCTGTTTAAATATGAAAATCCTAAGTTTTATATGTATATGAATATTTTCGCAGTCGTTCAATACATCTTTTGGTCATACTTAGGCATATTTGCATTTTCTTCACTAAGAGATGCACCGGTGGACAAATCTAAAATCACAGAGGACACACCTTGGTTTAGAAAAATAAACTTGGGAGAAAATAAGTATAAAAATGGTTTAGGAATTATAGCTGTAGTTATTGGTGAGTATATGCCTCATATTTCGTTTGTTTGCCACTGATTTCTTCATAATTTTTTTACTTATTAACTAATTAGGGATATATTTATGAAATATATCAAACAATCATATACATTAAGTCATCAATACCCTCTAAACATTTATTTAAATGTATTAACTCGGCATTTGAAATCCCATTGAAAAACGAGAATTGTTAATGATAAAAATATATTTATTTGCTTAAACATGGGTAGAAAATATATAGACATTTGAATTACAAATGAAGCTATGCAAAAATGATAGAGAACAGATGGCTCTTCTAGAGTTGATACTTTTTTTATAATGAAAACAAACTATATTACAAAAATTCTAATATTATATAGCATCAAGTTATTAAAATACATTATAATAATTTGATTGTTAATAAATGTTAAAGAAATAATATGATTAATAATTTAAAAAAATAATTAAAATAGTTATATTTAATTAAAGTTTGTCATAAGAATAATTCATGAATGTCATAATAATACTAGTAAATCAATAGCCTTTTCAATTTAGTTTTGATAAAATATTTGTTCAGTGCTTTTTTTATACAACAGAATGACAAATAAGCTGACGGCTCATTAGATGAAAAATGGTAATTAGTGCCTATAAATGTGAATAGTACCATAGACATAATAGAGTATACTAATGATACTCACACATATATATATACACTGTGTTACTGATGATACTCTTCATATGTTACCATTCCTGAGGACTGAGATGTTATGCCTTTGTACCCTATAATTTTATACCCTATAATTTTTAGAACCATGCATTCTGTAATAAGATAGTCTTGGTTGGATGGATACTTAGCCCATTTTGGTATTGTCAATTTCTAATAGATTTTTATGATAAGTGCAGAAATAAGTGGGGATTGTTTTACAAATAATGATATTTCTAATATATTGTATAAAGGGACAAATGAGTAAGAATATTATTTCTTCAAAAAGGGTATATTAACGTTTCTTCAGGTTTGTCAATGTGCATGTGACACCCCTAGTGTTGCAGGTGTCCATAGGCTACTGTGACTGTTTACCATCAGATGAGCTATTTGCAATTACTTATATATAAATAATTGCTTATTTGCAACCTTTGTGGTATAAAAAAAATAATGAGCTATGACTAACAGCTTATCATTTATGTCCTTTACTTTAAGTGTAAACATATTTCTTATTCAGCATTTTTGCATTTTATATGCTTCATCTATATTAATAATAATTATAGATAATATTTTATATTATTTTAAAATCAGAGATTAAATCTAAATAAAAGATTTTGTGACAGATTTTACTGTTAATTGTGTCTGGAATATTACTATGATTATATGAAAATTCTATTTTTCAGGTACTGGATCTTTGGGAATAATATGGATGTACACATTAAAATCAGTCCGGTTTCTTATCCTCAACAAGGGGGCAGGAACTTGACATTTGTCACATATACTCCATTTGGGAAAAATCGCATTATAAAGATTCCTATTGATCATGTATGTTGCAAGGAAAGCAGATTGAATGCACGAGTGCAATTGCCACTGAAAGTAAAGAATTATTGGATGCATTTTATGCTTGACATGAGAGGAGAGTTCAGGAACCCATTGCTGTTTGACTCTACTGCGGGATTGAAGAGAAAGTGGTGAATATAATTTTTTAATCGAAACTATGCAACAACATACCAATATCACAAAAGAAATTATTAATAAAAGAAGCTGTGTTACAATTTATACAAGTACAGAGTATTGAAGTCTGTACATTTTGATAGTTACTGTAATGTTGCTCTTACTGAATCATGTGACTGAAGCTCAATGTATGTCATGTCAAATCATTTTGCAGAACCAGTGACATTTAACCAATGTAAAGATAGATTCTGAGTTACCATTTCTGTAAGCTTATCTCAAAAATTAACTTCATTTGATATCACAACAAAATCTTTCTTCTAAGGGCCAATAGGAATTAAATTTCTAATAGATTTAAGTCAAAATTGGTTCATAGGGAAATTATCAAATTCAAATATTAGGAGATAGGTTTAAAGAAATGGCGCCTTAGAATCGACTCACTGTCTCATTGTGACATACTATAAATGTCGTATTTTAACATAGTATAAATGTGAGTGTAACATGAGAATAAATATCTCATATTCCTTATGTCGAGTCGAGCAAAGTCGGTAATAACATGATTACTAATATATAGAATACAATAATTTGTCACCATTGAGAATTTTCCTTGGATAAATAACTGTTGAGCTTTGTTACTTGCAACTTTGTGCAAAAAATAACTATTTTGTCAGAAGCATTTGTCGACTTAATAATAGAAAATAGAATTTGATTAGGTACATTGTTAATAAAATATTTATATTGTTAAAATTAGTATTCTTTTAAATATTTTCCTTATTAAATTTCTGGAATGTTTGGAGCAAACAAATTCGGATCATTTTTACGTAAAGAAAAAGCATTTTATGTTTATGAGAAAAAAAAGTCTTTATTAAATTGTTTATATATAATTAGATTAACGGAAAAATAGTCTGTCTCAACACAAAATAAACATAAAGTACAAATAATAACAAAAAATAAATATTTACATCATTCTTTACTATATACAACATCAGACTGTTAAGTGCGAGCGAATTTTGATTAACAATAACATATAAGTACATAATCGAGAAAACAACCTTGTGTCGGTTGATGTGATCATTGTAATTTACCGCTATCTTTACCTCTCCATCTCATAACCACTTAGTAATACCACTACAGACAATCTATTTAGATCGATTTATAACAAACGGCACGCACGTGAGCGATGTGGGTGTGTCTGATCATATCTTACAATGTAGTAAAGTAAATACTTATACAGTAATTTAAAATTCATATTTGCATGAGACTTGACAACTTGGAATCGGGTTGACAGTGCGCACGCTCCGTGTAATGCAAACAACTAGACATATATTTGTCAGGGTCAACGTAAATCGTTTTACTTTGATTAGTCGTAATAGCTAACCTAATAATTAAACTAGATCAAATCATAAGCGTTTGAAATATAGTAGTAGAAACTATACAATTACAGCTGTTAACCCTTAGAGGTAAAGATAGTGAAAGAAAATTAGTGAAAGAAAAATAAAGTCAGTCATACAAATGTTCCTTACATAACTACATGAATAAATTCTTCGCACGCTCGCACTTATTTAAATAACTTAAATGAAATTACGGACAAGAGTGATTTTACAATCAACCAAAGAGGAGACTTACTTGCTTATTCTAACCATCTACTGACAATTTTAAGACTACAAATGCTCAACTAGCCTGCTACAACAAGCTAAAAGGACCGATGGAGTGTTAGCTTTCACAAAATCAGTTAGGTACAGTCTTTATTACACTTGTTATATGCGAATAGCGTCAACTGTATTCGGTCTATTGATTTGAATCATCGGCCCTTATATTAAGTACAATATTTTATTTACAAGGGCATTAGCACATTCGGCGATGGCGATTATAGTTGCCTTACAGATAGAGTTGAAATCCGTTGCTACCCTAACATCTGTCCTCATGGGGAGCGTTCCGAGATGTGAATTAATTCTCTGTTCTCTTATACGAATTTCTGTACTTTGATAAAAAAAATGGCATAAACTATCCGAGCCCAGATGGCAACCCTAGAACACGACAAGAACTAGAGAACTGACAAACAATTCTATTTTTAAATATTTTATGTTCCGACTTATGACAAAAATAATCAGTTTACCATCAGCAATAAACATAATGAGATGCCGGACGTGTTTTGTTATTTTCCACGCGTGTGACAGACGTGAAAAATATTTTTTAAAATAGAATAATCTGCCACCTGTGTACAGGAACACTGATTAATAAAACATGTATTAAAATAAATGCTGTTAATGTTTTTACATAATTGTTTACCCCAATAGCTCTATCCGCGAACACGAAGACTGCTATGTTCGAAACATTGTCATAAATAATAATGAAAAAAATATATTTCAAATTAATTAAAACCTAAGTATTTTTTTTATTTATACAATTTATTTGAATCGTTCAATACTTATAAAGTTACTGCCTTCACAAATCAATCGATACGAACTTATAATGGCCTTGTTGTTTGTTACATTTCAATGTTATAGCGAGTTAAGCGCCTGCCCACACGAAAAACAATCCTTCGCATATTATCCTATGAATTAAAATATGCTCATATAAATTCTGATAGGAAACTCAGAGACGTTTCTTAGCTGTTGCTAATTCACATTTCGTCAAGAATAATTGCAATCTAATGAGAAATAGTCGATCTTAGCGCCATATCTTGAATTAATTTTAATTTGTTAACAGTGTTCATCTATATTCCAAACATTATTCTCTGTACTTATTAATCCAAGTTTTCAATTGAACTACAAACTCAGTAATAAAACTAGATGATGGCGAAATAAAAATGTTAATAAGCAGGTAATGTATTTTTCGTCAGCAATTATAATCGCCTAATGTGTGAAGAGCCTATTTATTTTTATACTACCAATAAATTTCGAGTTAAGGCGCTGTGCATACAAGCAGTGCCCCCACGGTTCCTTACCACAGTTAGGTTCATTTACATATTTCGATTTTATATAATAATCACAATAAAGAACTAGTTAGAATGTTTACAGCGACAATTATGTAAGTAAATTGTTATAATTTTTCTTTCGTTAAATATACATACATTTTGTCTCATAAAATATTTCACAATGTTTTTTATTAATACTTTTGATTTAGGCGATTAACACCAGAGCGTTGTGCGAATCGTTTTAGCACGCTTCGTGTGTTAAACGCCTTGCATAAAGTAATGATTTTTATGGAAAATTAACACTGCAAATGAGTTTGAATTTCCTCCATTTTAACTATCATTATTGATGGCGTAATATGTTTATATATAAACAGAGCAGACCATTATTGGATTATTCAAATAAATCGATAAAATAAACGTACATAATACAAAGTTTGTAAATCATTAAATTTGCATTTTATAGTCCGATAATTGTAGTGAAACAATTTTCTTTAATTTCATATAGAAGAATTATTTTATAATGCACAACCCGAATAAGCGTCCAAAATTGTTTTCTAATTTTGTTTATTTATTTACACTTTATTGCACCAATTAATACAGTACAGTAATAAATACAGTAAATTTTAATGAGAAGTGATACAAAAGGTTGCCTTATGCCTAAGCAATCTCTTCCAGACCACCTTTGAGTAAAGTACATTGAAAAAAGACAAAGGGTAGATGGTGCACTATTATATAGACATTAATATATATATATATACACATATAAACAAATATATACACATACTTAATACCAACAACGGGAGAAAATGAACGAGAAAGATGAAGAAAGAACACAAGAAAACAGTAGTAAAAGGAGATATAGTAGAATTTAACCGAAGTTGTGAAGCTAGTATTTGCCGCGCACCGAATAGAGGCAGGTGAGTTCTACAGGCGAACTGTCTGGACAGTAAAGGATTTAGAATAAAAGGAAGATGAATGAGCGGGAAATTTGAAGTTGAGGTTATTGACACTTTATTCACTTTTAAAAAAATATACTAAAGTTTTAAATATGCCAAATATATATATAACAATATTACACCACAATACCATTGTAAAGTTCACGCATACTGTATAATGTATATAATATATATATATATATATATATATATATATATATATATATATATATATATATATATATATATATATATATATATTTCAAAATAAATATACAGCCTATATTACTCGCAGATAATGTAATTTTCTATTGGAGAAAGAATTTTTAAAATCGATTGAGTAGTTTTTGAATTTATCATTACATACAATTAAATATAATGGTAATACTCTTTAGTAAATTAGTTTAGGCAACTTTTTTTGTTCTTGTTTGATTTTTAGTGCTAATTACGCGATGAGACCTTTCCTATGGGCGTATTCTTGTTCGTAATATAAAGAAGACTGTGTAATCCGATCTATTGTACAAGCGAGAATATCTACGCGCTTGACTCAAGTCGTGACGGTCTACGGTTCCCTTTAGTCGATTCGTTGTCGATAAAGTTATGCGACTACTCATTTTTTTTTTTTAATTTATAATATCCTCTCGAGCCAGTTCACGGCTGTTGTCTATGATCTTTACTCATAGACAATGAGACATGACATATTGGCACACACACATTTCATCCATCAGTCTCTTATTCGTAGTGTTTTCAGTTCAATTTTTCTAATCAAATGAGAAACAATTTACACTTAATTTACGGCCACCTATTAAATGGCTTTTATATTATGAGATAATTTAATAATAACAATTTCTTTATCATTAAATATCTTACATTCATATTACATAGACAAACAACATAAACTTTTTTTTTAGATTTACCATAAAAATTTACAATTTGCCTCTATAAGTCAACACTTATGGCAGCTAATTAGTCCTAACAATATCATGGTCGCCAATTTTAGCAACATGTCAGAAAAATGCATATTTGACAAATGAGTCCAAACGAAAACTTGCTATTGTCAATATTATTGCGCTTAAAATATAAACATTTAAATTCCAAATAATTTACTTAAAATCACATGAAAGTAAATGAATCTTACGTTATACAACCACCTTCGTTCGGATGGCAGTGTCGGCCATTGGAACACGTCAAACTTTGTAACCAAAACACAGCTAATCAGTTCGATCACTTATAATTAGTCCATTCTATTCAACACACAATAAGGCAGATTTACATTACGCCAGTCATTTAATACAAACTAGAGATAAACCGGTAGGTAAAGATACAGTAATACTATCGTGTACTAATTAAATTTGTAACAATGTAGTATGACCATCCTCATTAATATATAACAATTGAAGAAAAACACTTCTATAATTTTATTTTTATATAATACCTGACCGATTCCATTTTTCGGTATTTATGACTGTAGTTTAAAGAACTTATTATGAGATATGTTTTCGTCTTCATACCAAGTACCAACCAACAATTAAGTAACTATTAATTCATCACAATGATCTAACAAGCCTGATCCTTATCTGTCATCCATCACCGATGCCCTACCACCGTATGCCGATAGCGCAGGCAGGCACCAGTCCATTATCGTCCATAAAAAAAAAATTAACCTCAATACCCACTCGTTACAAATTTTGCTGATTAATTATTAATTATTTTTTTTTTTTTTAATATTCCTGTCATAAATACTGTTCTCATTATTCATAAGCCAACACGGATTCTGATACAATGTAAATCTGCCAATATAATCAGGTATTTTAATATAATAACTACCAGTTTAACTTACATGTAATTATATCGAAAAAATTCGACTAGTTTCGGGATCAATTCGTAATCCTTAGTCATAAGCGGCTGTAACGCGAGTCTGACTACGCGCCTCGGTTCGCTGAGTGCGAGCTGTAGGCAACAAGGATAAGCTATAAGGATCACGAATTGATCCCGAAACTAGTCGAATCTTTTCGATCAAATTTACACTTCAGTTAAACTGGTAGTTGTTACATTAAAATATAATATACTCAGATCGATAAATCGCAATGTATGGCCGATTATACAAAACAAACATAACAAGCCCTTTGTCCAAATGCCCCAATGTTGGTGTCATTTGGGCAAGTGTTCCGCCGTGACCAGTAAAGTTTGACCGGTTCGGACCTGGTCGGTCCGCTTCCGTAAACCTGCCCCACTTAGTACCGTGGCGTGCGTCAGTCTGACAAGTACCTAGCCCTGGATATTTCGTCACCGTCGTCGTCCCGCCCTGGACTGATGCTCTCGATCTCGTCCACTTCCTCTAGATTTTTCGTGCTTGGGTTGCATAGCCTGCAATATAAAAAATTGTACTATTAAAAATAAAATAAAAAATAAAATAATATGCTCAGTCTATATCTATAGTCATTATCACCAGAGAGAGACTTTGTGCAAATTTTGTTTGCTTGGTACCTCTGTCCCATTCGTTATTCTATCGTAAAGTAGTTGTGTATACATGGCTATATTTCGGTTTGAAGGGTGGGATATGGCAATGAATTTACAGGGTACAGAGACATAACACCTTAGTTCTTAGGAATGGCAACGCATGAAAGGTATCAAGGATCATGTCTGTAGGTGATGGCTACCACTTTCCATGGTAAGTTGCCAAAAAAAAACATTTCGCCAAGTATATTAAAATCTAACGTGGCAGGGGCGAACCTACTGCCGTAAATCGGATTAATTGCATTCATTATCTATGTTTTCTATTTATTTATATTTTATATTAAAATTATTATTGTTAGCAGTTCATGGTACTGTTCATGTCTATAGTCGATGGTTACCACTTTCCATCAGGTGGGCCGTCAGTTTGTTTGCCATTCTAAGTTGCATAAAAAAGTCAGTGATAATTAACAAACGAGCTATATAAAATGTATACTTGCTAATTTATGCGCTAGGTGTCACGACAGCTGTTACAAATTAATGTGAATGGTGCACAGTACATACCTGCATTTGCAGCAGACGATGCAGGGTGCAGCAAGCAGCAGTAGCGGACTGGCAACCAGGAGCAATAGACCGAATCCAGCAAAAATGCCCACAACCTGTAAATGTACATGTACCATTACTTTACTGTTATATTTATTTCTCTTCCTATATATAATACTTAAAGTACTATTCTCTAAATAGAACTTTAGACACTATATATATATATATATATATATATAGGTAGGTACATATAGGTACTTCTTCACTCTTCTCCCGCCAACCAGCTATGCTCGCAAGGCTGTGTTCTGATTTTACGAATTTGAAGTGAATTTCACGGTACGTAGATACAACGCTTTAGTACCCAGGAATGCCAACGCATAAGGAGTAAGTACCATGAGCGTCACAGTATATTCTATGATGATCCTGGCCCTCTAGACAAGCAGCAAACGAATTCGTCGATAGAATCGATACCGCTAGCGTGTCCGTGAGATAGAATGAGATAGCAACGCCGAATGTCTCATTCCAACTCACGGACTCGCTAGCGATGTCGATTCCATCGACAAATTCGCTTGCCACTTGTCTAGAGGACCTGGTATTGTTAGGCGACAGTTACTACTTTCTATTAGGTGGGCCTCGTCAGCATGCTTACTATGCCAAATATAATTAAAAAAAAAACTAATGACCGGATCCATTATGTCAACCGCAGGTGGGCCTTTGGTGATGTTTTAAGAGGGAGAATGCTGCTCATCTCTTACCCTCCTTTAGCTGCCACCTACAACACTCACGGGAAAGAAATGAGTGGCCTGTTCTATGCTGGAACATATGGTAGACGGCCATCGGTTCGTTTAATTGTACTTATACACACGTATAAGTGCAATAAAACGAACATATATTAATAATTCAATTTATTTTTTTTTAAAACTAGTGTTACCTGTGCACGATGCCACAGTACGGAGGCGCGAGAATGCCCCAGTTTATTCTTGCACGGACCCTTGTCATAGTGACGGAGCAGGAAATCGTCCTGAAATATGGAGGAACAAATTGTAATTTATGTTGTTCTCAAATTAATCTCATTACTTAGTTTCATTTGTAGGACGACGTTAGAGCCGAACATTTGGATTTGTTACTATTTCACGCAAAAACTACTCAAGAGATTTTTATGAAATTTAATACACGGATAGGTTATATCCTAGCTTAGCACACAGAATACTTGATGTACTAACTCACGTGAGCGAAAACGCAGGATATAGTTAGTCCTTTCTAATCTAGAGTAATACATCTTAGAGCCTTGATAACTTTACCAAGCACTATGAAAGTTGGTACACACGTAGATACTATATAGGATGTAGAAGTATATAGACTGTTATATATATATATATATATATATATATATATATATATATATATATATATATATATATATATATATATATATATATATATATATATATATATATATATATATATATATATATATATATATATATATATATATATATATATCAAGCTCATTTCACTTCTCTCCAAGAATTGTATTTCTCCTAATTTTGGCGAACAGAAAAAATTTTAGCCGAAATTGCAAAAAAAAAAAACTTAACCTGACAACGCTGGTATCGCCAATTATTGTCAAGGTAAATATTATCAAATAAATACTGAATACACAAAGCAATAGGTGCTTAACTATAAATCAAGGTGTCGTGAGACGTCATGTCAAGGAGACTGCCTTTAAAATGGAAATTAAATTCACAAACATGTATTGTAGGGATAAAACAACATGCCGAGTCAAAACAAGGATAACCATATGACGAATTCAAAACAGCATTATGCATGTTACCTATTTTAAAACAAAGACCCCCCCCCCCCTGTAGAGGATGACGTATTTTATTATCCACCACAAAAAAGAGACTTTCATCGTAATACATGAACAACAAGACGTTTTCTAGATGTAATCGATTGAAAATAATTGTATATAGGTAGAACACACGCAATCATGTAAATTTTGCTTCGCAACAAACATTTTTTTTACCTTGCAAGGGCAGCTTCAACGTCACAAAATCCTATTAGTATAATAAATACGAAATTTTGTAATGACAGATGGATGGATGTTTAATACTCTTTCACACAAAAACTATTGAACGGATTTGAATGAAATTTGGTATACGGGTAGGTTATGTTCTAAACTAGCACACAGGATACTTTATGTACTCATTCTTGCGGGTGAAGCCGCGGGATACAGCTAGTTAATAATATAAACAACAATATAAACAGGTAAATACTGTAAACTATTAATTGTAAATTCCGGTTATGAATTGACGACGTACTCGCATAACTCAAAAAAATTTAGACAAATAGAAATCCTAATTTTTTTGGAACTCACTTAAAAATCAGTATGATTATCTTATTTTACTAATAAATTATCTAAAGATCTGTACATGGTAGATATATGAAATAAATTATTTTAGTATTTAAAATAATTACTTTAAATAAATAAATTAATATTAATACCTCTATTAGGACCAAAGAAATAATTTTTAGATTTTTTTTGTCTATAAGTTTGTCCCGGTATCACGCAAAAACTATTGCACCAAATTGAATGCAATTCACAATTGTGTTCCTGAAGATTCAACTTAAAATCTGGTGTATTCATTTTAATACGCCATCTAGAATTATCGACATCATCCAGTTATAACTTTAATTATGTTTCCTGTAATAAAGCGTTAAATACATAAATAAATGAATAACCTTTATTATATTAGTAAGATAAGGTAAGAATGTTAAAACTATATACTCACGTCGAGTGAAGCAAGGCAGTACCAGCAGAACACGTGCTTGCACCTCTTGCACATCATCTGAGCGCAGCCCTCGTCCTTCTCGATGGGCACGCGGCACATAGGGCAGAGCTTGATCAGCTCCGAGTCGGGCAATAGGGGCGCGCCAGCACCGCCCATCGACGAGGACGCCGCGGCCGCTTCACAAGTGAGACCCCCGTGCCACTGGAAACGAAAAATCAAACAATAATTAAATTGCATTACACAAAAAATAAATCCAATTTCAATTATGGCAAAAAATTAACAATTAATGGTTGGTCCCATATAAATTTTTGATAAAATGTATATGGAACTAATCTGTAAGTACTATATCCTTTCACATAAAAAAGCTTACCAATATATAAATAAATACATGAATGGAAAAATAATAATAATAATAACCAGAGGGAGACTTTGTACAAAAGTCAAAAAGTTGCTTGGGTACTTCTGTCCCATTCGTGTTTCTACTGTGAAGCAGTTGTGTTTGCATAGCTGTGTTTCGGTTTGAAGGGTGAGATGTGAGGTGAATTTACTGGGTACAGAAGAATAACACCTGAGTCCTCAGGAATGGCAACGCATGGGGGGTATCATGGGCGAAACAGTATACTCTGTTATGTCCATGGTACTGCTCATGTCTATAGGCTACGGTTACCACTTTCCATTAGGTGGGCCGTCAGCTTGTTTGCCATTCTATATTGTATAAAAAAAAACTCTTTATTGCGCACAATAGAAATGTATACAAGGAGTATGTATTTAGAATTTGCATATACAAAAGGCGGCCTTATCGCTAAAAGCAATCTCTTACAGACAACCTGGTATCGTATATAATTAGTATATAATAAACTTTAAAATTGTAATTCTACGTAGTTTGTTACCGCCCCTGCGAAACTCTACGGCAGTACAGTGAAATAAGTTCAGTTGTGAACTCCAACTACCTAATTGAACACACGCAGGGTTCTTATATAAATATATATAATTATTTATGTTATTCTTAACTAACTAACTATACCTCCATTTAACATATCAAATATTACAGTTGACTGAATACAAATCGTAAAACCGTTCACTGCGAACCTCATAAGAGGTTTCTTATCTTCATTGTTCCCGTCTCGTGTCACGGCCGCAGAAATAAAATCGCATTTGACACGGCCATTGTCAATTATAAAAGTAAATAAACAATAAATAATGACTTCGCACTCCATCGAAGGCGACAATAAGTGTCTTTTAGTGTTTACGCAACGTGTCAATAAATAAATATAATGGTAAATTTATTTCACCGTATCTCCGCTCGCAATTCTTGATGTTCTGTTTTACGAAACTACCTTTCATTATTTTTAATTAGTTTTATGGAGGTGTAGTGCCTTACAATAGTTGGAGAATCAATCCCCACACAATACAAACATATATATTCGTATATCTGCATTCTCTTTCTTTCTTTATGGTTTTACAAAAAAAAAATATTCAAGCATGTTTATAACTTATCAACCCCGACTTCAAATAGGAAGTTCTCAATTCGGTTGTATTTTTTTTTCAGTTGTAAACTGATCTGGAAAATTCTTTTTTTATCTGCAAAAATTAAAATATTTACAAATTGGTTCTATAAAAATTTCATTAAAATCGGTTATGGTATGTAGTTTAGTTTTTAAATCAAAATAACTGGTTTAGCCACAATTGAAAAAACGGTTTTTCTTTGTGGAACACGATCTTAATTTTTTAATGGCTACCCACAGTACAAGCTTCTCTTAGTTTGGATCTAAATAAATAGAATTGGAACCAAAATGGTTGTTGGAGGATCTTCCTACCGTGGACGCCTAAGTAGACTCATTCTCCTTCATGTGAAATGTTATTTTAAAATTCATAACGATTAGTTAAGACATTATGACACCAAGAGATAACTAACAAATTCACTACAAAGTATTTTTTATGCAACTTAGAATAGCAAACAAGCTGACGATCCACTTGATAGAAAGTTGTAACCGATGCCTATAGACATGAGCAGTACCATGGACATAACAGAGTATACTGTTTCGCCCATGATACCCCCCATGCGTTGCCATTCCTGAGGACTCGGGTGTTGTCCCTCTGTACCCTATAAATTCACTGCCATACCCTACAAACCCTTCAAACCGAAAAACAGCCATGCAAACATAACTGCTTCACGGTAGAAATACGAATGGGATAGAGGTACACCAATAAAAAAATAATGCGCCATTGTTTTCTTTTTTAGAAGGCTACAATCTTGCAGTAATTTAAAATAAGTAGAAGTATAAAGCGTATTTTCCATTTTAGTAATGGCAATGCATAAGAGATACGAGTATTCTGCCAACGTCGTGGAATAATTTTGGCTTGTTTGTTTCAGAAAATTGTCAATGAAATATTATTACAGTACATTCCAGTGACGTAGACTTACAGAAATTCCGAAGCTTTCTGATGAAGATTGATGCAGTTTTTATTTGCTCATTTTTACAATTATTGACGCTTGTTATGTCGTAGCATTCGTTAACACTTTGCTGACCGATGACGAGTTTATATCTAAACGTTGCTGACTGGTGACCAGTAATTTTGTCGTTGCACTAACGTGTAGGTACGTGTTCCTACCACGACAAGCAACACCGTTTGGATTACAAAGCCTTCATGATACAAAAATTCTTTGTATTTAGGTTTTCATCACAATTTTAGTTTAATTCCAAACATTTCCACCATGACCGAATTCCCGGTCAGCAAAGTGTTAAAGTAAAAAAAAACTAGTTTCGCGCCAAAAAGTCTATGTTAATGATACGTTAACTATACACCCCTTATTTTTATAAGAACCTAACTATTCCGTAAATATACATTTTGCTCTGTAAAAAAACTGCGACTTCACAAATTTAATACTTTTATTTATTACCAATATCACTATTGTTATATTAAAACAAATAAAATGCACGGCGAGATATTGCGAAAGTAACAAATTAGTAAAAAAAACTGTAATTTTAATCGTAGAATCACGCTTCTACAGGTAGGCATTTTTGCTAAGTAATAAGTACAATTTTGCTCTCCAAAGAAAAACAGTAGCATTAATTATATGTGACAAAATTAACAAGTAAACCCTACCTATAACGAAGACAATTATACAAAAAAAAAAAATACGTGGGTTGATTACCTGGTGTCTTTGAAATTTACATTTCATTTCCGATAAAAGTAAATACAACTGAAATAACTTGCTGAGGTATTTCAAATTGAACGCGTGGGTACGGTTGACGCGAGGCAAGCGTAGGCGAAAATATTCTAGACTCACCCACGCGAGAGCCTGCCTCAGACTGATGTCTGTTATGTGAGAGTTAACAAATTTATTTACACACTTGTAATTTATTTTTAAACCTGGTATTTTTTATACCACTAAGGTGGCAAATAAACACACGACCCACCTGATGGTAAGCGGTTACCGTAGCCTATGTACGACCGACCCTGAAGAAACCTCTTTGCCCTTTTTTAAAGAACCCCATGCTGTTGTCTCTTGGAAAAACCTCGACGGAGAGCATATTTAGTAAACTAACTCGACATGTCAAAAAAAACATTAAAATAAATTTTGACGAAAAAGAAAATTAGTGATACAAGTACATTTTTAAAAATATGTACCTATTATAAATAGTAATAATAATTTATTTTCAGACTACAAATTGGTCTATTTTGTAATAATGTAACTTAAAATCGACTTAAATTAAAAAAAAAATAACTAATTAACAAGTCTACGAAAGAATAGCAATATTAAACGTGAAACACACCATTCATCAGTATTTTATAAATACATTAGATCGATTAATTTCTTGCTTAAACACCTTTTTAAAGTAATCCTGAATTTCTTTTAATTTATAATACCTACCTAACATTTATCAATTACTACGAAACTGTACAAGGTTAATTTGGTATAAATGATGTGGTTAGAATAAAACTCTATAAATAAACAGAGCTGAGATTGCACAGAGCCCCTGGTTTACTAATACGAATGGCATTCGTCGGATTATACTCAAGTAAAAGGAAGCGAAGCATGTTACTCCTTGAGACGTTGATCATACCGTAGAAAGATATTATAATACTGTTAAAATACCACAGCGTAAATAAACAAGTGGGCCAAACCCTTTGGTAAAGGATAAGGAATTGTCGGTAGCGGAATCTAGCGACCACATTGCTAGCAATACGAGTATACCTATTCAGGTCAACTTTTAGGTCAGGTGAAAAGGAATTATTAGTAACAGGGTTTAACAGCCTTATTTCTAGCAATATACACTATCAGGTCGACCTCCACGCGATTCCCCCGAAAACCATCGTGATTAAGTCTTGTTGAATTTGTCACGATGGGTTAACTGACCTGCTTTCATTCTCATCTTTTACTGGTGCTCCGCCAGTATATACCGATAGTGCAGGCGGGTACCATTCCATTTTCACCCATAAAAAAAACCTCCATACTAGTGGTTCTTAATCTTTTAGTGATGAGGGACAATTTGACAAAATTTCTGTTTTGCCATAAACCGCCTACTGTTTGGATCCAAATAAATAAAGGGATGGTCTATCTATTCTATAAATTAAACGTACATCTTTATGGCATACATCATTTGTTCAAATTGTAGTGAAACTCGTGCCGTGCGTCATTGTATCGACTCATTACTTGTTTAATCTTCTCCAGGTGGCTTTTTGAACCTTTTCAGATCTTTCTAGGGACTCAGCGATCTGCGGACCATCAATTAAGAACCACTGCTCCATATAATTCTCACCAAAACCCATCATAGTTAATTCTTGGTGAATCCGGCACGATGGACCAACTGACGTGCCTTCATTCTCACCTATCATCACTCACTAGCTGACGACCGCGTGGTTACATAACTGTATGCCGATAATGCAAATGACATTCTATTTTCAATTCATAAAAAACCTTTTTGTCATGTCTCAAACTATAACATTATAATTCGGGACGAATTGCTATATTTAAAAGTTGGACGACTGGCTGAATAGAATGCTTTAGACTGTGGTATCAATGTGGTACATAGATACTACGATACGAAACTTTTAGATAGATAAGATACGATCGACATCTTATGGCTAAACACCCATCCCATTATAACATATAACCGATTATAAGAGAAGCTGGCAGAAAGGAAAAATATTAAAATTTCGCGTGATTCTAGTTGAATGCCAGCTGACGTAGGTAC